CTTGGCCTGCTGGTGTTCACCGTGATGAGCCATCTCTACTTCTGGGATGTGTGGTACAGCTACCATTACTGCGCTGCCAAGCTGAAGGGCTATCAGCGCTTGTCGTCACCAGCCGCTTGCTACGATGCCTTTATTGCCTATGACAGTGAAGATCCTGCTGTGAACGAGTGGGTGCTGCAAGAACTGGTGGAAAGGCTGGAAAACCAAAAAGCCAGGCAGTTCAATTTATGCCTGGAAGGAAGGGACTGGCTCCCAGGACAGCCGGTCTTTGACAACCTTTCCCAGAGCATTCAGCTGAGCAAAAAGACCATATTTGTGCTGACCAACAGGTATATTAAAAGTGGCCGCTTCAAGACAACATTTTATATGGCTCATCAGCGCCTTCTAGACGAAAAAATGGATGTCATTATCTTGATATTTCTTGAGAAGGTTTTGCAGCAGTCCCGCTATGTCCGTCTGAGGAAGAGGCTATGCAGAAGTTCAGTCCTGGAATGGCCAACTAATCCTCAGTCTCAGCCCTACTTCTGGCAGTGCCTGAAAAATGCCATAGCTATGAGCAATTCTCTGGCTTACAACAAGCTTCTTCAAGAAACTGTTTAGTTCTACTCTTTCCCTTAAATATTGTCATGATGCACATGCACCTTGCTTGACACTTTTTAGTGCACAGCAAGAAACAATGCACTACCCCCTGGAAGTCACTTTTGCAGAAAATCACCACTTCCAGCTTTTAGTTCAATATTTGCCTCCAGCATCTCCTGTGGTTGGGGCAAGTGTGGATTAGACACTTGGTCAACATGCTCAGGTATACAGAGTGAAGGAGTGGTTGGACCATGCCTAAAGTTGCACTTCAGACAATGCTGGAATAAATGGGATTTTAATTAAAATGTATACTTTCTCTATTTGCTGTATTTATGAAAATCAAGAAATGAAGTCGCTTACACATATGTGTCTGGAAATAGCTTTATAAAAGCTCATTCTTTGATCTTAGGAGTTGGGAAAATCAAAGATTTTTTTATTTTAGGCTTACAGCTTCTGAGTCTTCCACTTCTGTCTGAGTGGGGAAACTGGGGAGAGCAAATTCTGTGACTGATTTCAGGGGCTTCGGTCTGGTACAGGAACTCTCCCTTTGTTGCACAGTCAAAAAGCTCACAAATCTGAAGAGAATTGGAAGAATTTGTGTGGACTGAAATAGGAAGGTGAGATGTGAATTCAGAAAAGCTTGTAGGCTGTATGTGGAAAGGAGTTATAAGATAAAGGATAACTCCTTGTGCATGGACTGCTGCATGGGTGCAAGGAGAGGGAGCAGGACAGCAGATGGGCAGAGGGAGAGGCACAAGGCAGATGGAGAAAATCAGTTCAAAGATACAAAGAACTAGCTAGCTTCTAGATCCTTCCAATTCAAACCATTCTATGATTCCGTGATCTCAGCTGCCTCTGGTAGTTCCTTGCCTAGCTTTTCTGTCTGGTTCTTTTTTTAAATAGTCCCCTTTTTGATTTAGTTTAGTAGGCATGCAGGCAGACAAGAACACAAACAGGAAAACTAATGCTCATATAATATTATAGACAAGAAGGATTTTTTATCCTCCAAATTGTCATAGTGGTGTTACTGATTTACAACAGAAGCAGGAGAAATATTCTGTTTAGAAGAGTGTATGTTTTATGATTTTATTTTAACATTGGGAGGAGGATCTGGGGAACTAAAGGTGTGTCAGCCTGACATCGGTGCTAATGAAGGTCATAGAGCAAATCATCTTGAATGCCATCATGCAAGAAGTACAGGACAACCAGGGTATAATGCCTAGCTGGCATGGGTTTATGAAAAGGAGATCTTCCTTGACCAGCCTGGTCTCCTTCTGTGACAAAATTACCTGCTCATTGGATGAGGGAAAGGCTGTGGATGTTATCTATCAGAGTTTAGTAAAGCCTTTTACATAATTCTCCTGTTTAGCCAGGAGAAGAGGTGGCTCAGGGAGACCTTATCACTCTACCACCACCTGAAAGGAGGCTACACTCAGTGGGAGTCAGTCTTTTCTCCCATGTAGAAAGTGACAGGATGAAAGGAAATGGACTGGAGTTGCACCAGAGGAGGTTTACATTAGAAATTAGGGAAAAAATTTCATTGAAAGAGTTGTCAAGCATTGTAACAGACTGCCCAGGGAAGTGGTGAAGTCACCATCCCTGGAATTGTTAAGAAAACATGTGGATATGGCACTTGAGGATATGTTTTAATGGTAAACATGATCATGGTGTTAGGTTGATAATTAGGCTTGATGATCTTAAAGTCTTTTCAACCTTAATTATTATATGATGCTATGGTTTCTTATGGTTGTATTTGTAAACCAATGATTTGAAGTTCAACTACTTTGTGCACATTGTGACTGAGATGGTCACCAATCATCACTTTGCCCATGAATCCCTCTGTTTCCAAACAACAAATCTAGGTGGGCATGATTCCTAGTCAGTTCCCTTAATATCTCCACCAAGAAATCATCTCCAACATGCTTTGGGACTGCTTGTGTCCATTGTATGGTGTTCCTAACTGAGGTCTAAGAAGTTAAGATCACTCATAAGGACAAGGACAGCTGACCTAGAGATATTCCTTAATTTTTTATGGAATAATTCCTTAGTGTCATGGTCCCAGATGGGTGATTGATAGTATACTCCCACAACAACATGCATCTTTATCCTTCTCAGACTCTTAACCATGTCATCATCAACCCCTCCCTCATATAAAGAGCCATCCCCTGACTTGCCTGTCCTACCTATCCTTCCTGAAGAGTCTATAACTATGCTATAACACAAGAACAAAATGAATCAACAGTATTGTTTGGTAAAGAAAATTTCTTAAATGTAAGATCCTTTAACCCACATTACTTTGCACTTAAGTTGTTAATAACCCTGAAGTCTGGGGCCACATCATTATACCACAGTTTGCACCTGAGCACTACACAAAAGCCATACAATACATTTCATGCACTGTATCAGTTCAGTTGCTTTATATTTCAGACCTTTGATTCAAACTGCTGAATTATTTGTCTTCCTTGTGCACAAGTACTGTAAATAAAGCTCCAAAATTACTTGTGCCAAGAGGTTGCTTGTGCTTCTATTCTTTTGAAACTTTTTTTGCAGACTGTGGCCTGCATAGGTCAAATAGAGAAGAATGTAGGCATTGACTCTCATGCAAACCTTGTTCATATATCATCCCCTGGCTTTCTTGAATATAAGGATGAACTGTTAATCACATCATAATAAGATCATCCTTCTCTTTTTTATTATGGTCTGACAGAAGGGACACAACATTAAACTTCCTTGGGAGTCTGAGCTGCATTTCATGAGCAGTTGAATTTTGTATTTCTCAGATTGTTGGAAGCAAACCCACTCAACTGCATTTAACAGGATGAGATGGGGGAAGAGCAGAAGGGAAATTGCAGAACTAATCTTACTCTATGAGCTGCATTTTGTGCACCCAAAATGCTTATGAGGAGTTACAGGTGACTTCCAACAGCTCTGTGAAAACTGCGTCCATTTTGAGAGAATGGAAAGCCATGGGAACAGACAATGGTGAGGTGTTTGGTGTGTTGAATTCTCTATGCTCCCTTTCAGCCTGGTGGGAAACATTCCTCTCTCAGCAGCATTCTTTTAGCTGATATTTGTCTGTAAACCTTTTTAAGCATTCCACTGCCCTAGTGCAAGTACACATTTCTGGCTTTCTTGGTAAGAGTATCTGATGTTTGTGGCCTTGCTGGCAGCTCTTGTCATAGACTCCTAGAGGTTTTAAAAGTCAAACACTCAGAGCCTTTTTCTGAGGCAGTGGACTGTGGGGAATGAAACCTGACAGTTTTCACTGTACAAGTCCCTCTCTCATTTTGTCAGGCTCTGTTGTCAGTGCTGGTCTCTCCTGTGCTGAGTGGTGGCTGCCCCTGTCTGGCAGCCAAGGCTGCACCCATCAGGGCTGGGTGGAGGATCAGGAGAGCAGCTTCCGAGCAGCTCTTGGGTAGAGGTAAAGCTCTTGGGTAGAGAAAAGCCAGGCTAATAAGTTAAGGAAAAAACAAAAAGGCAAATTGATGCGAAACTGATCACTCACCACCTCCTGGCAGCAGACCAGTGCCCAGCTAGCCTCTGAGTGATGGCTGCTTTAGCTAAATCCACCTCCTTCCACCTCTCCCCCCCAGTTTTATTGCTGGGCATGGAACCTTAATGACATGAGTTATGCCTTTAGTCATCTGGGCTCCGTCATTGTGGCTGTGCCCCCTCCCAGACTCTGGCTCACCCACAGCCTGCTCACCGGTGTGAGAAGGCCTTGAGGCTCTGCAAGTACCCCAACATAATGCTGGTGTGCATTCCACACTGCTCTGTCACCAGTCTGTACCGGGGTACCACAGGGCTGCTATGGAGAAAACAGGCCCCATCCCAGCCAGACCCAATGTGGTTGTTGTGAGTGATGAATGGGGTGTGATTGTGGATACTCATGTCTGTCTTTTCCAGGCCTGTGTTGTGCTATACTTGTAAGAAAACGTAAAAGAAGGCAACAAATAAAAGAAATTGTACAGAATAGGCAAATCATAGAGACTTGCTGAACTCCCTGCTTAGATTAGGTGTTGTGCCCCCGTGCCTGCACATAGATATCTGCTCTAATTAGTAGGATCCATAGTGGATGGCTTTCATCTGACACTAAAGGAAGAGCTCATTTTTTGCAGAATTATGATGGTGCTATATTGTAGTTACAATCAAAACATTTTTGATAGGCTATTATGATTAGTCTAACACATAAGTGATTATTATTAAAATTCCAGAGGATTTCTGCAAAACAAATTAACATAGTACAAGCTGTAAGTAGCATAATACAGAATTTATAATAAATTTTAACTTATAATTTTCAATCACTAAATCTTAATTTAATTTTTGATGCCTAGTGACTTGAACCCTGTGCATATCAAGTCAAATCTTAGTCCATGCTTTGCTCTGTCAATAACAATTATAATTAGACTCACAAAACATATATTAGAGTCACTCCCTGCATCCTCAGAGGATGCGAACAATGGTGGAGGCATCCCTGCTCCCTGGAGGTTGATGGGTTTCACTGTCCAGCAGCAGCTCTGGTTCAAGTCCCCTCTTATGCCTCATAACTGGTTGGATCTCTAGACAAGGGGCTGCTGCAATTCACCTCCCTCTTCCACGGGGGCCTGGTAGGCCAGAAGGGTAGGGACAGTAAGGAGGGGAGCAGTCACCTGGTGCCCAGGAACCTCGAGGATGGGAGGGAGGAGAAAAAAACTCTTTGGGTTTTCTTCTGGGTTCACAGAACCTTCAGGGTCTGAAAATGAGGTGAAGGGCAATGAAGATGTGATCCACTCGGTGACAGGTGACGGCATTGTCATACTTGTGAATTGGCATTAAATAACTCCATGAGCAGGGGTTGAAGCAGGATGTACCATTGGCAGTGGCACGTATCAACACTTCACTTCTAGAGGGACTTTTCAAGGAAGGCAAGAATGAAGCATTTTCCACTGCCCCTCAGCTCTGAAGAGACCCCCTGTCCCACCAAGGCTTGCAGGGGTACAGTTCAGAGAACAGTGGTGTGAAAGCAAAGGGAAAATCTGGCTCCAGCTCCTGCCAGGGAGGAAGGTCACAGGGCTGGGAAGGAAAGCTTGCACCACTGTAAATGGCAGGGCTTTGGACTTGGTTAAACCAGTAAAAAGACTTAGAACATTATGCTATGATGTATCTGCAACTATATCTAGATACATGTAATATATACACTACAAAAAATACATTCCTGTTGCATATAAGTGTTTCCATGTGTAAATATACATACATAGAGGGGGACAAGAAATTAATCCATTGCAAGTGCAGTTCATGACATTAGAATCAAAATAATCTCTATTGAATAGTAGCCCTCACAGATAGAAATGTTATTCACAGGTTTCAAAAAGGCATTATCAAGGCCTAAAATAAATGAGAAAATTATATCTCATGGTCTTTAGAACTCCATAAATTGATGGGCATGCATGTTTAATGTGAGCTGTGTTACAGTAGCTTGCCTGCCATAATCTTAAGCCTTTATTCAATATGGAGCTACTCTCCTGCTATGTGATTTGTTTGGGTCCACCAGTGTCTGAGTCCATGCTGTCCTGCAGGGGCTCTTCCAGTGCTCCCTCAGTGCTCTTGCCTGAACATGACTTCATAAACCATGGCAGGGTTACCTAAATGAACCATGAAAAAAGGCTAGCAATGTCATCACTAAGAAACAGGATTTGAGGATATCCCACTTACAATTGCCAAACTTCTTCTGAACCTGCCAGTTTTATGATTTTCCCCCAGTTTCTCCATTGCCGTGCACCATCACTTCCAGCATTACTGTCTTGGCACTTCTCCTCCTCATCATCCCTCAGAGAAAAGAAGGAATGATGTCTGTGGCTACTCTGTCTTTCCTGCCCTGAGGAAGGGGCAAGCAGAAGGGACACAGTTGCAGTGCTGGCCCTGGAGAGCTTGGAAAATAGCTCCATCTTATTTCAGCTGTTTCTGGATGTCTTCTGGCTCCCTTGCAAGTAACTCATTTTCAAAAACAAGAGTGCTGGGCACCTTTGCTTTGAGCAATGATTTTAACCTGTTATAAACCAAACTGTCAGTCCTGGTACTGAGGTAGTCTAGGGCAGCTTGAGCTTTCAGAAAAGGCAGTGTCTGTTTCTGTGGTATTAGTGGCTCCCTTGGCCACATCTCAGCACCCTGGGTAAGCTCTTAGCACAGATCTGTCTGTGTGTCTTCCCTCACCACGCCCTGAGTGCTTCCTCTGCCCTTGTTAAAGGCAAATCTCCTCCAGTGCTGTCTTCTGTTTATTGCTTTGGTTATTTTTAGTCCCCGCAAACACATTTCTGCAACGACTATCAGCAACATCATTTTGAAAATTCAACTTACATATTTCAAAAGCTGAGCAATCTAATTGGCTTTCTTGAATCATTTTGTGGGAAAATTATGCCATGTTTCGCTGAACGCTGCATTAGCCATGAATAGATGGAGTTGTACCCTTATTCCTGACATGAGGGTCAGCACTTCAGAGAAAACACACTGCAGCAAGACTTTAAGACTGTAAATAAGCTACCAAGATTTAAAATAAACACAGTGGAATATTGATTTTGACAAATGAGATAAAGCAACCTCCTGTAGACAAAGGAAAGAAAAAAAGGAAATGCGAATTCACCAATCTGATTACAAGCCAACTTTCAACCAAACTTGTAGATGAAGAATTAAGACAATTAAGCACTTCTGCTTTATTTTCAACTATTTTCCTCACTCACAGTAGCCGTAATATACATTTGCTCTTACCAGTAGGTCCTCCCCTAACAAATAATGAAGCAGGAAGTACTTTTCTGCTTTCAGTTACTTTGTGTTTCAGGAGAGGCAAAAGAGATTTTGTGCAATTTCTGAGGGAAACTGAACTTTTAAAGTCAGTAAACCTGATTTTAAACCTAAACTCCCTGTGCCTCTAAAAAATCAAGTTACTGTCCAGAAGTCCTGGGCTTCTGAAAACTCCCCTCCATTTACCCTGCCCTCATCACTTCAAGGGAATTATTGCTGTATTTTGCTTACCACATTTCATAGATTAAAAAAATTAAGGAGGGCTCTACATTTTTCTAGCACTCAGCTTAAGCTGCAGTTTCACTTTACATAAAATTGAAACTCCTTGAGCCCTTAGCTGGTTAAGTTCCTAATGATAAAACAAAAAAAGATCACCCTGAGAGCAAAAGAAACTGCTAAGTGTCAGTACAGCTATTAAAATTTCCAGTTTGTAGTCATAGAATGTGAGGGAGCACCTGACAGAAATTACAGGGCTGGGTGACTGGATGTTGTGTTTTTGAAAACCTTCATGCAAGCAAAGTGGACACCAAGCATGCCATGTTCCAGTGACATGTACCAGGGACATGGGTGGTCACTTGAAGAAATCAGTCACAATCCAGCTTGTGCACACTCTTCTACATAGTTTTTACTTCTTTATGTTCATTTTCCCGTGCCCTTACCATTATCCTGTTTGTCTTGGTGTTGGTTCCCTTCCCCAAGTTCCTTTCACTTAACAGACATTTCTCCCAGACTTCTACATAAAATATTCAGCTTAAGAGATCTGTCTACTTATATTAGCACAAAGAGATTCTTAAAAACATCTGAAGCCTTGAAGCTATTAACTGGAGAAATAAATCCCAAATAATAATTATAAAAATTACTAAATTTCCATGTCAATTAACAGTTTTTGTCTCCATACAGCTTACAGTAAAAGAGAAAAAAGAAAAAGGAACTTGAGCTTCTGCAATCTTTGTGGATCACATGAATATTACACTTGTATAAAGCTTTTGTCTCCTAGCTGATTCATCTCATACTCTGTCATTAAGGATTTTGAAGTTGCCTTCCTTTGGTGTTCAGATGAAGAGAAAGAAGATACGGTGTAGATTACTGTTGTCTTGAGTGGGTTATGTCATGTTACATTCTCCTCTACACCTCAGCTGAACCACTGGAAACAACTTTGATGCTGTTCTCTTCTGCTCCAGTTTGTGGTCTCTTTCAGAATCCAATCTGTCAGACCTGGAAGCACAAAGAATATGGTATGGTATACTTTTTGGATTTGCTCTTAGACATTTTTGACTGGGACTGTTGTGAAAGATTTTCAAGAACATATTCTGCTTTTCTGTTTTCTAAATGGTCCAGTTTACTGTTATGGCTAGAAGCTGCAGGGCATTATAAAAGGAAAGGATTTATCTGTATTCCTATACTTCAGAATTAGCATAAAATATTTTCTACTTGCTGTAACTTATCAGGTGTTTCTCTAACCTTTCCCCCATGAACAAATATATGGAACTGCAGCAGAAAACCTTCCTTCAGAAACATATAGCTGTACTGCTGCTGAATATTTGAAGAACACCCTAAATCATTAAGGGGTTTATACACATGCCAGTTAAGATCAGTATATTAGTTCTTTTTGAACTTCTTATGAAGCCAAGCATAGACCACAGAGAAAAGAACAGCTCACCATACTCTAGCTGTACCTTTTAAGCAAGCCTCTCTTTGAAAGGACATTGCACAAGGCAACATTGCTTTTTGGTCTTATTTAGTAGTCTTTTTGTTTGTTTCTGGTACTATAATGGATGCAAGGTTTTACACATGCAAACAGCCAGATACAGCACCAGAATGTAAATCTTTACAGTTCAAATAGCTAATGCATTTAAAAGATTATCAGGAAAGGGAAGAATATACAAAGAAATGAAGCACAAAGAGGTAGGCTAGCTCTGCAACAACACTTAGGTCCCTGAAAAAACTGAAATATGTGAGAAACTTACAAACATATTCATGGAGACTTTCAAAACCCAGATACTTTGCACCTAGTTCCAGGCACCTAAATGTGCAGCATTAATCTCTGGTATGTAGTAAGCCAGAGCTTTCTACATCTTCAGAGCCAAGCAGCCACTGGAGAGGGATCTCTCAGTCTATCTCTCCCTTCCTTCCCCCCTTCCTCTCTTCATTGTCAGTGCAGCCTAGGTTAATGATAATAAAATGAGAAAATCGGGTAAGCACCTAAAATTAAGGGTCTGAGTGTACAATTAAGGGCTGTGTACAAGTTCATGTAAAAAGTTTGTGTCTTCAATCTCGACTGCAATCATACCTTGCCCATGGCATGCTCTAATGCTTGGACAGTGTTTATTTTGGTTTATCACATCTTTAAAGGTTGAATCTAATTAGCTTTTCTTCCTGTTGCATTAAGTGTGTAGCAATTTTGCATAAAATAACCTCCCTTGCTTTCCAGCTGGTCCTCAGAAATCAGAGGGGCTGGGTGTGTATGAACTTAATTTCTGATTTGAGCCAATTTAGTACTACTAAGTCTAGTCGGGTTCCAGATACTGTTTCAGATGCAACAATAATCTGATTTTCACTGCAATCCTCATCTCATTCATGAACAGATTCACCGGTTGTGAGTATTACTGATTCATCACTGTAAGTGTGGTTTAGTTCAATAAGAATTTACATGAACACAGATTCACCAATAGTGTAATTTATTGGATAATTGATAAATGCACTAGTCTTGCAACATACAAATGTACGGTGCTATCTAAGTGGTCCCAGTGCAAATCTTACCAAAGAAGCACCCCTAGTTTTGTGAAGTGAGAGAAATAACTCCATTGACTCGTCTGTAAAATGGTTGTATTCTTGTTTTCTGCCAATGAACATTTCAAATGCCAATTTATACTTTTGGGAGAAGTGGAAGCAAGACTGTGGTCAAATATTCTGTTACTGTTGTTATTTATGGGGGACAGAGAGCAGCAGCATATATGTAAATGAGGGACATCAAGATAAACAAAGAGATTACAAAACTTTGCGTCTTGCACAAGGAAAGTACAGAATTGTGACACTTTAGCATTACTTCCTCTTCAACCTGGCTGAGGGTAAAAGGGTTACCCATTTCTGCCCGATATTGTATCACACTTCAGCACACCATCATGCCCAGTGTAATCCCTTAGCCACAAGGTTTCCCTTGGAAAACCCTTTACCACATATGTAACACCATATCTCATGCCTGCAGGCCTCATTCCTACACCTTCCTTGTTTTAAAGGAAGAAAAGCTGCTGGACTTTGATGTGCAGTGGCTGCCAGTATTGCCCTCTGTGACTGCAGGTTCTGTGTCCATGGCTGGTGATAGCCAGCATCCACAATCTGCTCTGCTGTGCATCTTCAGATGCACATTAAAGGGTACCCATATAATATTGAAACATGTCTCGCAGTGCAGAGAGCCTGCATGGTTTCATTAGCAATGCTCTGCTATGCTCCATGGGCACTTGCCTTGGCTAATGTTCCTGGACCAAAGTTCCATTTCTCTGCAATAAAAGATGGAGATAGGCAGTTGCTGGGACATTATGGGCCATTTGGTTTGCCTAGAAAGTCAGTTTTTTCATTAGTCTCATAACATTCTTTAATAGCACATAAAATGCTGTGTCCACTGGGAAAAAAGGAAAGGAAAAACCAGCATATGCTTCCTGAAACTTATAATCCTACCTGCAAATCAATTTGTGGTCAGTGTGAAACAAGAACCCAAATTTAGCAGTTGTTGTTTATACCAGTGTCCTTTATACCAGTGTACAGATGAAATACTTTCATTGCATTAAACTAATACGTCCATATTTCTTTGATTTTAGGTACCTTGTGCAAAGATGTCAAATGCATTGCCGTTTATCTTGCTCTTCATATTCCCAATGCTGCTGTCTGGGGCTTGGTTTCCCAAAACTTTACCCTGTGATGTTAAATCTTCAGAAGGTGCTGTGACAGTGGACTGCACTGACCGGCGCCTTACAGAAGTCCCCAGAGGGATCCCTGGAAATGCTACCAACCTTACGCTGAGTATTAATCATATTCCCCATATCTACCCAACGTCCTTCAATCATCTTGAAAACCTCGAGGAGATTGACTTCAGATGCAACTGTGTGCCTGTCAAACTGGGGCCCAAAAATCATGTGTGCACCAGCCCACTGAAAATCGAGAATGGTAGTTTTGCTGCCTTGACAAGATTGAAGGCATTGTACCTGGATGCAAACCAGCTGGCAGAAGTACCCCGAGGTCTTCCTGCTGCTTTAAGCCTGCTGAGTCTGGAAGCAAACAGTATCTTTTCTATCCAAAAAGCCAGCTTCTCGGAGCTAGGGAACATAGAGGTGCTGTATCTTGGACAGAACTGTTACTACCGCAATCCATGCAATGTTTCATTTGAAATTGAGAAGACAGCCTTTCTGGGGCTGAAAAAGTTAACAGTACTATCCCTGAAGTCCAACAACTTAACACAAATTCCTCCCAGTTTGTCATCTACTTTAAAGGAATTGTATATTTACAACAACATGATTCAAGAGATTCAAGAGCACGATTTAAGTGGTCTTCCCAACCTAGAAATTCTCGACCTAAGTGGCAATTGCCCACGTTGCTATAATGCCCCATATCCCTGCATTCCCTGTCCCAAGAGCTCGATTCAGATACATTCAAATGCTTTTGATTCTTTGGAAAAATTAAGAATTTTGCGGCTTCACAGTAACTCTCTACAGA